TGCTATCAGTACAAGGCAATGGCAGTGAGATCAATGGCAATATCCCAAATGACACAAAGCTACATGACTTTGAATGAAGAGAAAAAATGATTCTTCTTATCTTTTTTTTAATAATCATTCTCATGAAATTAAATTCAGCTCTAAATTCTGGACAAAACTGAATTGATGACCGTGTCAAGACTTATTCAAACTAAAAGTACAATCCTAGTGAAATGCATACATATAATAAAAACAATGGGCCACATCCCAAAAGAAATCAGTAGAGCTGTGTGAGGTTCACCACCTATCTAAGGGAACTGAGAAGCTGAATCTTTGTAAAATTCTTTCTTTCCTTCCTTCATTCCTTCTATTCCTTCTCTCCCTCTCTCTCTCTCTCTCTTTCTTTCTTTCTTTCTTTTTTTTTTTTTTTTCCCCTCCTTTCATTTATTTGAAGAGATAGATTGTGTTTGTGACTTTAATGTAGAAACCAGTAAATGGTGCATGGAGAACAGGGCTGGCTATTAAACAATGGCTGTTGTATGTGAAGTGCTGCTATGAGTAGAGATGAACAGCAGTGAGCCAGAAATGCCCATAAAATCTCTGAGCTCTGAAACACCCAGGTCAGTCTCAGGCTTTTTTTTTTTGGACTATTTCCTCCACTATTACTCTATTTTTTTTTCTCTAAGCAGGGAAGGTAAGAACAGAAGGTCAAAATCCGAAGAAAATCTGGTGTAAGATCTGAGTGCTGGTGAATGTTTCCAGGCACAGCAAAATAATCCTCTATGCAGCTTTAATGTTAGAAAAATGCCTAACAGTGCTTTCCCAGACAACTTCAGGTATAGCTCAGGATTTGGGAACCATCCTCAAAAATATACTAATAGTTAGTCACATTAACCATGAGGCTGATGGGTAAATGACATGAATTCAGAATGTTGGTTGGTCTTCATGCTAAAAAAACAGTCACAGGCTCATTTAGTTTTCTATTGGAGACACAATTCAACTACATCAGGAACAGTTGAGGTGCATCCCTCAGGCACTGATCATGCACTGTTAGCTGCTGAAAATCTGCAGCTGCTCATTCCTTCCTCTCCTCTCTGCAAGGTCACCCCTCACCCAGCTCCATAGCTGTCTGTGTGGCCATTTGAAAAAAACACATTTGTGAAATCATGCAGCCTGAACATCCACAGTGATGTTAAACAACTAAGAGACATATGTATGCACATGCATGTGTGAGCCTGTGAGGGTACGTAAGCAGCTGAATTATTACAAAAAACCTCTGAAAAATCTTCAAGGAGGGTGGGAACATGAAAGCAAAGGCAGTTAGTTGCATTTAAAATAGGATTTTGGTCAAAATTCATTCATACCCCCACAGCTTCAGAGTCTACACATCTGGAATGGTATTTCCTTTTATGCTGAATATAAGAGAAAGGCTTTTTGCCTGAGGTGAAGATGGTCCCAACTTGTATTGTTAGTTCAGACTCCTTAAAACTCACTAGTTGCAGAGAACTACCACTGAGAATTTTATTCTTTTGCTGAGCCTTGCATATGCACGTTTGGCAACAATATCTCTGTCTAGTTCGGATAAGATACTTGCAACATCTGACACCTTGCACTCATACTGGGAAAAATTCTACAGAATTCTCAGCTATGGCCACATCATGTTGCCTCTGTCCTTCAAACAGAGCTAAGTTTCAAACATTAAAAGGACTTTGGATCAAAATACAAATAAGAAAGGTGAGAAAAATAGAAAAAGTGTGCATATAAAAACTTATGTCAGGAGTGGCAACCCTTTTGTCCACAGAAAAATGAGTGCAGACAGACAAAAGGAATCTTAGTATAAGAGTTTGCCTTACGCTTTGCCTTCTGATTTGATAACGTTTTCTGGATTTTAATTGCAAAAAATGCAAAATCAATAAAAAATCTAAAAGGAAAAAGACAAATGAAGAAAAAAAAGGGAAGAAGTAAAAGCTAAAAAAGAATCTAAAGCTGCTACCTGGTGTGCAACTTGGACAAAATTAGAAGAAATCCATCTGACAGCTGGCAATGACTTTACCTCTGTTTACATTCAGCTTTTAGAAATAGTCTGCATTCACTTGAACTTTGACTGGAACTCCCTTGCTTAAAAATTTGATAATTCCTTCTGTCTCTATGTTGCCAGAGAAGATTCCAACTTAAAGAATGAAAACCTCTTATTTTATTATGTTGAAGGATACGGTGGTATGGTAGTCGAGGTTGAATCTTCCCACCAGTATTCCATTATGTTTTGCTGCCCTGTAACAGATGGCAGCAGAGGGGCGTTCTGACAAAATGGCACCTGACATGGAAGTGCAGATGAAGCAAGGGTGTGTGATTGAATTCCTCCATGGAGAACGAATTGCACCTGTTGACATTCATCAGCACTTAGTAAACATTTATGCAGACCAAACAGTGGATGTGAGCACAGTGAAATGGTGGATGGTGCATTTCAGCAGAGGCAACAGAAATGTGGAAAACATGTTCCAGATGGCCATGCAGATTTTTAAGACCATGTTATGTAGGCTCTTGTTCATTGGTGGTGAAAATGCACAGCTAGTGGTTATGACTATGTTGAAAAACATTGGTTTTTTTTTTTTTCAGCTAAGAATTTGCTCTATCAAATAACGTTATTACTTTTTACTCTTTCTAGAAAAGTATTCAGCTCTTCAGATTGTATTGTTTTAAAATAGCATACTTTTATGGACAAATTGAATAGTACTGGCACGTGAGACTTTTCTAGCCCTTTTTACAAATAATTATTTCATACCAGTGAGGAATGAATTCAACAGCTGTGAATAAAACCACTAGAGAAAACACTTCCTTCAGACTTTAGGGGTAAAAAAAATAATCATAGAATAATGTTACTCTAAGACAATAGTTTCTTCTGAAATAAATGACCTTTTCCTTGACTTTTGTGTATCACTTAATTAAATCAATTAGTGCATTCAGGATTTCATTCAATGCTACTCAGAGGTGTCACAAGAGGTTGCACTTATCAGTACAAAGTTAAACAGTGCAGTCCATGCACTGGGAAATTTCTGTTAAGAAAAGGGCAAAAATGAGGGGCATCATAACTGGGATTTCGGTTGAACTATAGATAAACCTGAGTAAAACGGTTACTGAATATTGGGTGATAACTGGAGAGAACACAAGAGAGAAACAGACTAAAAGCATATGATATGGGATTAATTCATTATACTTTTCCTTATTGAGTAATCACTCATGACTATAAACCAAATTAACTCAATATTCTTCAAACAGCCCTTAAGCCAAAACCCAACAGAATATAACTGAAGATGATGTTACCTACAGAATCTTGGCAACATAATAGAATCTTTGGTAAAAAAAAATATTTTTCTATTAGTAATTACACTAATGAATGGACACTATGTTTAATGCCAACTTAATATTGGGTAGGGATTACTCTATCAATAATTTAGTTATAAATTATTTCTTTAACATTAAACACAAATGGTGCAGGTTCTTTATTTGACTAAGCTTTATTCAAAGCAGTGATGAGAGATAAAATGATTCATATCTTCATTTGTCTAGAAGACTTGATGCAGGACTACCGAACACTAATAACTTTTAGACAACTGTGTGTTTTCACTTCTTCCTGTATTCATTCTTTATTTTTTTTTCTCATTTTTTCAAAAATAGAAGAGTTAAGTATACTTTTCTTTTTTTTTCAAGAAGGCTACTTTACTTGCTAAAAGCCACTTTAGTTTTGACTTCAGAGATTGACTAATATCATCTCAAGACTAAACTTAGTGGAATGGGTTTTATTCTATGGATGCTGTTCCCCAGTGGTTAAAGGTTACATTGAGCCTAGAATACAGATTAATAATTCATTTTGACTTCTGTCACTATCACTGTATCTCAGCAACATATATGTTATAATACAGTTTTAAAGATGAATCATCCTGTTCATGTTCACATCTGAGGTCAAATCATGCTACTGTCACTAAAAATGAATGTCTCTATCTTTCCATATCTTTCTCATCCAGTCTTTTTCACAAGCAATCCCTAGATATGTTGCTATGATTTTCAGTGTTTCTGGAACTTCACATTAAAAAGTGTCCGAACTCTAAAAAGTAAGGACGTACTGCAGGTGAGTAGGTGAGTATTATGATCAACCATTGCCTTCATTCATGTTTAGCAAATCCATATTTATAAGGTAGAGGAACAGTGTTGGAAAAAAAAAAAAAAAAAAAAAAAGTAAATATAAGCATTCACAGAGTGACTTTTTTTTTTAAGAAAAGAATTGCTATGGAAAATTTTATTTTCTCGTACTGTCATGTACAGAAGAATTGAGTTGAAAGTGTCAGAATCTGCAATTCAGATGTCTGCACCTAAGGTAGCTATCTATCTTTGAGGGAGAAAAATAGTAATTTGCCTAATTATTAAGGAAATGTCTCAAATACGTCAGATGAATCATAGTCTGTTTCTTTCTATACTAACAAAAAGAGCAAAAGGAGATTATATTAGATTTAGATGTTAAAATCATGTGAAGAGTCCTTCCCATACTCTGATGTAAAGTGTTTAAAAAATGTCTACAAATGAATGTACAGAATATATATATATGTCTGCTAACAGACTTTCAAATACATACACAAGTTCAGTCAACACTTTCTGACAATGAAATGAATACATTTTAATCCTTTTCCAAATGAAAATAATAGAAAATCTCTATGTTCCAAAAGCAAATGTCAGTGTACATGGAAGCTAATGAAAAATATACTGAGGAAAAGGAAATATATGAGAGGTGATACCTGAGACGTATCTTTTGTGAATGACCTATTTTAAAACAGAACAAGTGAAAGCAATAACACTTACAGAAGAAGCAAAGTGACATACTAAGTATGAAATAGCAGTGTCTGCTAGGTAGGCAGATCCATTTCTTCAAATCTTATACTAGGAATTGAAGAACATTTTCTAGATTTAGTTAAGAAAAAAAATCTATTCTGAAGACTCCAAATAATGACACAGTGTTACTTTTGTCTTACCTCTATGAAGAAGAGACTGGCTGCTGATGTTGGATGTTGGTACATATAGACAGTCACGAGGATGGCTGCAGCCACAATGAGGACCAGGACTAAAATGCCGATGATTAAACCAGCATGAAGTGTTCCACCTTTTTTCTCTGCAGCGCTGTCATCTGTGGAAGCTGCATGAATGACACACTTATTAGTGCAATAACTTATGTCTTATCCATTCCATTTCATATCTGGTAACTGAACATTTGCTTTTTCATTATTACGTCTTGCTTTCCAGATCCCATTTTGGAAAAAGATGCTAGGTGTTCTTTCCCATACAACTGAACAATCCTATAATCTTAATGAACAGACATTTCCAAACATTTTACTATTTTTGATTCAATAAACAAAATTAATATAGTTTCATTTGAACATAATCTGGACATTCAGAAGTTCCTAATTACCTTCATAATGAATTTTGCTTTGATTTTCTCATAAAATCATTGCAATTGCCCTACAGACGAGTACCAATTGAATACATTTTGAGTGTTGCATTTTATTCTAGTTTTTAAAGCTTCAAGTTGAGAGATGGCACAAATCTCTATGAGGTCTAGATAATAAACATTCTGAAAGGCCGATTCATTAGCTTAGAGAGGGGTTTTGAACCACCCTGTGCAACTGAATCAAACTGCCAAAACTATTAACAGATGGACGTTAAATGACCCTGCAACATTTTAACCTTGGTCCGAATGGAACATACATCCAAGAATTACAGAAGACCATTCATTTACTAAGCCTGATTCAAAGATATTGTTCATGCTATGCTCCTTCCATGAAAAAAAAGTGCTGCTCTATCACAAAAGCAACTTGTCAACTCTGCCTTCAAATTGGTGACTGTAAATCTTTTAATAGCACTGTAACCTCTGTGAAAAAGTCTCCCAATAAATTAGACAAGATTCACTCATGATTGGATGTGATTTCTACTTTTGGTGCGCTCAAGCCCAAAGATTCCCACTGCTTTGTGCTTTTCTGCCAATCCTAGAATCACCTCCATGATATACTCCATACAGAACTTGTCTCTGATCTCACTTATACGCATTTCTTTTTCAATTCCATTTTTAAATTTCCTCTCACAGTGTTTGCTTGCCAAGCTGACTATAGTGAAAGTGGTTGATTTTCATAGTCATTCTTTTGGTTGTACCACTTCCCTGAACTATTTGTTTGGTTGTATTAGAACGTCGCAGTCTGTGAGGACAGTGGTCATCTACCTTTGATTTGCTCTCAGAAAGCAGCCATTGAATTATGAGTATTGCTTCAAACAATTACAATGCTAATACAATTGGTAACAACCACAACAATACTTGTGCGTGGTCTTTCACTGTTCATAAGATGGTGAGCAAAACACTCCATACTAAGATTAAAGGAGGAAGATAGAAGAAAGGTGATACTGAAAAGATGGCTCTAACTTTCGAACAGCAGAGTTCTTTACTCAGCATTGCCAGTAATAATTTACTAAATAGCTACTCACTTCCAGCTGAGTATAGCTGGTGTATAAAACTCTAGAATTTGTGCACCACAACTATATTTATTACTTGTACATATGTTTCAAATGGCAAAGCAAACACAAGTTAAGCAACTGAAAGACCATCTGGGAAGGCCTGCTTTATTGTACATGCTTTGGGTTGGGTTATTAATTCCCAGTGATGAGAAGCTATTTGTTGTGTGAATCACCCCACAGAGAAGTAACAATTTCCCATAAGGAGCAGGTAATTCCTAGCTTGTCTTTCTCATAATTGGCTGACAACTTCATACTCTTCTACTCAACTCTTCAGTGCCACATTGGTGAATCATAAACTATTGCTTGCACACATTTCCAGGCCAATTTACACAAAATGAATAATTTGTATTGTTACTATGTTATGGTTGAAAGCAGAACATCATATTCTACATATTAAAAAATGCTAGATTTCAGCAAAGATACTGACCACTTTATAAAGGCCATTAAATTAATCTGTTTTGATTTATTATTTTCTCAGTATTTAGCATACAGATTTGCAAGTAAAAATGCTGTCACTTCACAGTAGAACAGGTGACGTTATGCTGCCTAGTCTAGGGTAGAGTACTGCGTGGACATCACTGCAGTGATCAGAATGGCAAACATGAAAACAAATGAAATAGATTCTTAAATAACAACAAGGGTAAGTAACTTGTAATTTCCATAATCGAAATTCAGTTCATTGACCCCAGGGCTATAATACTCATGAGAAATTGATTTCACTGTCTTCGCACAGAGACAATAAACAATGTCGTCAACTTTGAGAACACTCCCTGCTTGGAAATCAACTGACAGCTCTTTTAAAAAGCTACCAAGGGAAATAGCTGAAAAAAAAAAAAAAAAAAAAAAAAAAAAAAAAAGGGCTCAGAAACTTTTTCACGTGCAGAAGTATTTATAAGCTTTTCAAAACACATCTGCTGTTCCAGGCAAGGCTAAACCCATAGGAGGATATTTGTCTTTTGAACATTTTTTCCCCAAAACAGCTTTATCAGGGGAATTTTCCCCAAATTTTCATTTTCCTGTGCTCAGGAAAGTTGTTACATACAATATACTCTATTTACAACTCCTCCCCAAATTCTTTAATGTATAAAACTTTTAAGCAGAAAGAACATGTTAACATCTGCATGGTTACTCTGTTTCTCACTAGGTTCTGAGTAGCAGTACAGAAAGAGTAAGTTTTTTCCCCAAGATACACAATGCAAACATGAAATAACTGCTCTCTTGCTTGAATGCTGTCTAAAAAGAAAGTAAAAACAATAGGAGTGTTTTGATTGTATGGCAAACACACTGGGACTGTCATTTTTGCTTTTGTATTACTGTGTTATGTCTCTAGTTACAGTTGAGTTAGATTATTTTTGGTGCAGTAAAAGCAAAAACCTCAAGAAATTATCACATGTAAATGTCTTGTCCTGTTCCATGGTCACTATGATGCTGACTTTACCATGAACAAAGGTGTGTACAAACTGAGACAGAGCATTTGTAAACATGTTACAGATACTTTCTCACCACTGGTATAGCATAATAACAATTGAGGTCTACAAAAATAATGAAATACAATATGTTCTCTTATTCAAGCCCAAGGTTCACACAAGGTTGCCACTGTAACAGTTTTATATATAAGAAAAAGAACAAGACCTGTGATACATATATATGTCTGCCATGATATGAGATAGAAAAGTAGCAACTTATCAAAGATTTACATCTCTGATTGTGTGAGCAGTGATAAGAAACATCTTTATTGGAAAAAGAAGAAAACTATGTGAAGCTCTATTGCTTTTTCGGATCTTTCTTTTAGACAAAATAATATTGATTCAAGGGCAAATAATGGATGGTAATATAAAAATGAATTTTTTTGCGTAACAGGAATTTGGAAATAAAGTTTCACCATTTTCCTCCATGTTGTCCCTTCTCACTCTTGTATTTTGATCAGAAAGCTAAAAATTCCAATCTAATTGCTTAGATGCACATGCACCTTTAAGGGGCATCATGTAATATCTTATTTGATCCTCCTGACTGACACAGGTACACTAGCAAAGTCAAATATATAGGGTATAAATGTCCTAAGCAGCAGTGATCAGCCTGAAGGAAGTCATTCAGTCCTGTTTTTCCATGAAGAAAACTGAGATCTTCTCCCCTCTTTTTACCAAATGTATGAATTTTCATGGTAAATCCTTGAATTTGTCACAAAGAGATAAAGAACGGACACTGATTTATTACAAGATGAGCATTTGCTGTTATGTCATGTGGTAGAATTGGACAAATTCTAAATGTTCAGCACAAAACATGATTTTTTCTTTTTGCTGTCAGGTCAGATGAATATGAAACTATCACATACATATGTGAATATACATGCAGCCCTATCGGCAGCTTGCCTGGCATGAACTTAGTCTCGTGGTGAAATAGCTTGGATAACTACCAGCCCAGTAAAACATTCCAACAGATGAAATGGTGCCAGACTGGAAAAGCCTGCTGGTTCAAGTATAACCACATCTACAGTACTTACGCACTCTTATGCATAATACTCATGAGTATGCACTACATAGATTAAAAGTTAGAGAAGCTCTATTTTTTTTTAATTATTATTATTTTTCTTTTTAAGGCAAACATGCCACCTTTTAAATTGTTTAGTTGTTAACTTTGAAATACTCTTGCACTCCACAATTTTTATGGTAGGTAATGAACATTTAGGGTAGATTTATGTCATGCTTCTAATACTAATACAAGAGTAGTATCCCATAAATAAATAAAAAATAATAAATAAAAAACTAGCTTAGGAATGTCAGATGTGCTTATATATAACATTAATAACCCTTACCACATGTAACTATGATATTAAAGCTTAAAGTGGTAGATTATATTTCTATAGAGCCCACAAACAAATTGCCAATACCTGGTGACAGAATCTAAAATTAGGTGGAATTAAGAACAGTATGCTTGGATATGCTTCTAATTGAAATATTTCACTTGATTCACAGTAATCACCTTGAATTGCAACTATGTGAAAATTCTCATGTCACTGAAATGTCAAAGGGGATCTTTTTGCACCAATACTTCAAGAGATTCCAACTGCAGTATTATTATAGGATCACAGAAACTTGATGATCCTGAAAGAATGCGTTCTTTAGGTTACTTAAAGCTTTTGAAAACACACTGCTTTTTTTTTTTTTTTAATATTTATTTTTTTTTCATAGGGATCCCATTATCCATTAGACACCTGTAATTTTTCTAATTCACTCTATATAAGATATCTCAGTCTGAAGTCTTGAAGCTGTGAGAGAAAGTGTGACATATTGAAAGCTGATTTTTTTTTTTTATCAGTCCATTTATACTTCTTAGTTGGCTGCTGGATTTTTGCTAGTTATTAACTTTTGCTAGTTACATGCATTTTATATATAAACAATGAAAGCATGTACTGCTTAGGATTGACACCATCTTATATATCACAAAAGGGGTAATATATACTTGGCCTTGTAGAAGTAATCTGTGTGAGGAATAAAGCAATTTACACCCCTTCTCCAAGTTCCATTTCAGGGTAATAAAACTGTCCATCACTGACAATATTGGAATACCTTGACTTCAGGAAAATCAGTACTGATTTGGTTGAACACGGCAGGTCAATTCCTTCTCTCTGCTACC